TGAGCCCATTTAATCATACAATCTTTAACCAATTCTGTTTCCGAATCAAATTCTATCAAAACACTGTATATTCTCCTAATATGGGCTCTACTTTGATCTTTAATCTGTTTTATCAAGTTCACATCTTCTACCATTAAACCCAATTTTTGATCTATATGCCATCTCTCAACCAATTGAAGATGTAGCAACCAGGACTGGAATACTTATCCTGTTTTAACTCTTCCAATGATTTAATCTGCCAGTCCTGTTTTCTTAACATAAGTAAGTCTTTATAAACAATACCTTGTAATTTTACTCCCCTTACTATTCCTTGTATTGCATGTTCCGGAATAGCCCACATTGGGATTTTAAAGTTTAACTTATATGAATACTTTTCCCAAACTCTCAAAAGTGCAATCCTTAAGATATGAGATTTAAAAGCCCGATCAATTTTCTTATCAAAAAATAAATAAGCATGCCATCCATAATATAAGTCCCAACCCTCAAGTATCAAAATGTCTCTATTAGTTAAATTAATCCAATCACTAATCCAGGTTAATACCACTGCTTCATAATATAATTTTAAGTTAGGGGCTTTAAGTCCCCCTCTTTCCCATGCATCTTGCAAAATTTTAAATTTTACCCTAGGTTTTTTCCCCTGCCATATAAACCTGTTGATACCTCTTTGCCATTCTTCCAAATTTGAGTCCTTTTTTAAAATAGGTATCATCTGAAACAAGAAAAGAAACTTGGGGAGAACATTCATTTTTATTGCTGCAATTCTTCCCAATAATGATAACTGTAATTTCTTCCACTCCATCAAATCCTTTTGAACTTTTTCCCATAACTTATCATAATTATTCATATATAATTTAGCATTAGAAGCAGTAATATCAACCCCCAAGTATTTCACTTTTTTTACTATTTCAAAACCAGTTACATTACTTAAAATTTCTATATCTTTCATAAACATATTTTTAACTAATATTTTAGTCTTATTATTATTTACTTTAAATCCAGAGACATTCCCATAGTGTATCAATGTCTGTATCAGATTTCTTGCCGAGTCGGTTGGATCCGACAAAGTGAAAACCAAGTCATCAGCAAATGCTCTAAGTTTATAAGCGTTGTTGCCCAAAGTTATTCCTTTTATAAATGAAGACTCTCGAATCTTGATTAATAAAATCTCCAAAGTCAAGATAAATAATAACGGGGATAATGGACAGCCTTGCCTTGTTCCTTTCTCAATTTTAATTGAGTCTGTCAAATCCCCGTTAACAATCACTTGGGCAAACTGTAGTTGATAAATAGCCTTTAATGCTGAGGAAAATCATTCTGTCCACCAACCGTAGCAAAAATTGCCAGTCCAATTTATCAAAAGCTTTTTCAGCATCCAGAAAGATAAGGGCCACCGGGATTTGATTGTTTTTGTGCAAGTATTCCAACACATTCACAATTTGTCTAACATTATTCTTCATATATCTTCCATTTATAAATCCAGACTGATCCATATGAATAATCTGCTTGATTACTTGCATTAGTCTATTGGCTAATATTTTTGCAAAAATCTTATAATCCGTATTCAATAATGATATTGGTCTGTAATTTTTAGGCTGGGTCATGTCTTGGTCCTCCTTAGGTATAAGTGAAATAAATGCACATCTCCAAGATGGTGGTATTTGTCCCCCCATTAAGATGTCATTAAATAGACATCTCAAGGGTTCCAACATCCATCCGTTGCTTCTTGTCCTGCCTCCAGGCGCTTTGGAAAATAGCTTGACTCCCTCTTCTCTGTGGCAGCCCCTGAGATATTGGAACACTGTTATCATGTCCCCCCTCGTCCTTCTCTTCATTAAACTAGACAATACCCAATTCCATCAACCTTTCCTTATACGTTTTAACCTCCAGTCCCCTTTGTTGCTCTTCTCTGTACTCTTTCTAGAGTCTCAACATCTTTTTTACATCGTGGTGACCAAAACTGGATGCAGTATTCCAAGTGTGGCCTTACCAAGGCATTGTAAAGTGGTATTAATACTTCGCGTGATCTTGATTCTATCCCTCTGTTAATGCAGCCTAGCACTGTGTTGGCTTTTTTGGCAGCTGCAGCACACTGCTGGCTCATATTTAAATGATTGTCCACCAGGACTCCAAGATCCCTCTCAGAGTTACTACTATTGAGCAAGGTACCCGCTATACTATACCTATACATTTAGTTTTTCTTGCCTAAATGTAAAACCTTACTTTTATCACCATTGAATTTCATTTTGTTAGATAATGTCCAGTGTTCAAGTCTCTCCAGATCCTCCTGTATCCTCCTGTATCTTAAACCTTCTCAGCTTCTTTATTTACAAAAATTCTTCCTCACAAAAAACACAGATGCACCTTTTGTTACATTTTAAAAGTCCTCTATGGTCACTTGATTATTTTTTTTTAAAAAAAAACCTACATATAGGATGGGAAGATATTGTACAAAGCAAAGAGCTGGATCTCTGACATCTGTGATGTAAGGCTATTGCCTCCAGAAACATAGTATAGTGTAAAGGAGAATTGTTTGTTACATATTTACCTCTAAACAGCTAGACCCAGCTGTTATTTAGGATCTAATATTCTCAGAATTACATCCTTTACACTTTTTAGGGCAGAGGGAGGTTTTCCCTAAGCTGATGTACTTTTTTTTTTTTGCATTGTTATATGTAACCATTTATCTTTTCCTGACCCAATGGGCTATTGACTTACTTATATATTTATTTAACATATGTTAGACTAACCTGCCCCAACATGCAATTGACTGACTACTTTTAAGTCCATTTACATACAGATAAGCTGGAAATAAATAACATGTAGATATCCTGACCTGCTTTTGAATTGATATATAGAGAAACTAGAAAAGAAACTAGCATGCCACATTCATATGTGAGAGATAATTTTATAGTTCCTTAATTTTTAATTAATTTTTAAAATAATCTTAATGGCCTCTAGAACAGAAGACTGCACATACATTTTAAAAATAATAATTCTGAAAACAAGAATATTTATTATATGATGATTGTTTGATCCAAATGGCAAAATACCATGTTTCAAAATGATATTTAATATTCATTTGCATTTATACGACACAGGTACATGTTGACTTCACTTTTTTAATATTTAACACTCACAATTTTACAGTATGCAAATTCAGTAAAAGTTTTAAGATTAACTGTGTCATTAAAATGCTTGTAGATATTGCTACAAATGATTAGAATTTAACTGGAAGCCCAGCAAAAGACAATGTCAGAAATGTATCTATGCTAGATAAGGGAAAGAAGTGAAGATAATGATTATGACAGAGATTTCTGTAATTATAATTATGTTAGTTCTTTCACTGATTGTTGTTTCTTATTAAACATCCAAAGCAATGTCAAGTATGTCTACTATACATGATATCTTGTCGTGTTGGCTTCTAGGTTGAGATGTGATGCTGTCACTTCTTATGTTTTTGTCTTTCAAAATTTTGTTCTAGGGTAATACAGGTGGTGTTGGAGAAAAGGTGAGTGATAAAATTACTTACAAGCACTTGCACTAGTCTGTATGAATAAGTATATTGCATCCAGTTAGTGTAAAAAAATGGCCACTTTTATTTGATTCAGGAGTAAAAGAGATTAAAGCAATTAAAGAGTACATAATCATCCAAGGAAAAATAACACTTGGTCTATAATTTCTTAGGTTGATCTTGCTAAGTAGTTCCAAGATCTAATTCTCCAGACAAAAAAAAATCATACTCTTACTCTTATCTAAATAGGAAAAAATTGTACCAATACAACACAGCACAGAATAAATGGGTCCATCATCCTGGGCTGATAGAAACTACTCCTATTCCACATCTTTATATACTTAGTGCTGAAATAAAAGCAAGATTGAAATAGTGAGTTGTTTCTGAGTGGCCCTACCATTCCTGCTTTCCATATGTATTCATTCCTTACAACTTACTCTCTAATAATAACTTTTTTTCTTTTCTTATAAAGTGAAAACACATGGCACAAATGCTGTTCAAGCAAGGCCATTAACTGAAGTAATATTGAATGACTTCTACTGTGAAAGTATTAAATTCAGGAAGAAAACATTTTATCAATTTGAATCATTTCAATGACGGTCCACCACTGCTCTGATCTGGGTAGAAAGGGGTTTTTGTGCAGGGACTGCATACACACAAAGGGTTTTTTTTGGTAGGGTAGAAAGAGATGTTTGCTCCAGTCTGGCACTTCAAAGGGAGGCACGGCTTGGATGCAGTATTTCATTTAAAAAGAATTCTTTATATTGCTGAGTCCTGCTTCTCCTGAGAAATTCCACAGCCCAATGACCAACCAGGTGTCCAGAGGAAATCAACAAGGGATAATCAAGGAATGAGTTCCCTCCACTATTCTTCAGCAATAGTTATTCATGTGGATATTATACACCAGGCCACTTGTGCTTATGGAAGCCATGCCTCAGACCCCTGTGTGGACCCAGCCCCACCACATCTCTACTATTTATTAAAGCAGAAATCTTTCATTTTTCAGGTTTCTGTGTGAACCTTCAGAAAAGTAGAATTGCTTTAAGGACTCAGCTTGTTTAAAGCTAATGAGACTCTTAAAAGTACAGCTGTACTTTTCATCGAGCCAATGTGAAAGTCTGAAAAAAAAAGATATGTGTTAACTAATAGCAGAGAGATTGTTAAAATCTAATGCTCTTAGCCCAAATCATTTCCAAAGCTGTAAGAATAGAAACGTAATAACAGCATTTCTTACCACTGGCAACTTCAAGATATGTGAACTTCAACTCCCAGAATTCTCCAGTCCTAATAAATAGCCACTGCCATTGTATGAAAAGCCAAAAGTCTACCTAACATGTCTTCGTGACTGTGGAGATTTTGTATTTATTTTAACATTAGATATTGGAGGAAACAGAATTATACTTTTAACTGCTATGTTATATAGTTCTGATATGGTTTTCCACAGGGAGCTCAAGGACAGAAAGGAGTCAAAGGCAGTAAAGGTGATAAGGTAATATTTTCTTACTATAATATCAAGCAATCTATAGAGACATGGGGTATTTTTTTTCTTGTTTGTTCTTCAGACCAGTTTGGCATCTAGCATCAGGCTAGAAACTAGGAGATTGAGTTCTAGTCCCGCTTTAGACATGAAAGCCAATTGGATGACTTTGGACCAGTCACTTTCTGTCAGCCCAATTCATCTCACAGGACTATGTTGTGAAGAAAATAGGAGGGAGAATTAGATATGTTTTCTGCCTTTAATTATTTATAAATATAATAAAGGTGAGATTAAAAAAATATAGAATAGTGGGCATAGTTTTACATTTTGGCCTATTTATAGAAGAATTATGTTTCTTAGGATGTTGTACAAGGAAACTTCTGTACAAGAAACTTTATAAAGTCCTAGATTTGTAAGATTGGTTTCTAGCTGCATGTTGCCTCCCTTCATTTCAAGAAGAAAATGAGTGGTTTAGCTTCCTCAGTACCAGTTTTTTTCAAACTTGACAACTTGAAGATCTGTGCACTTCAACTGTCATTCAATCCCTAGCCCGCATTTGGCAAGTTTGAAAAATACTGATTTATAACATTCCTGATCAGTCAGGCTATATCTGAAAAATCTCTTCTGGCTCTATATGACTAACTCTTAAAACCCCAGGATTTCTTTTCAAGAATGGAAATAATGTTATAACTGTGTAGGGCCGAAGTCTAAGTTCAACACAGCAGGATGTCGAATTTTCCACCAAGAACTGACAGATGTGGTATAGCCCGCTGAAGAAATGCATTATTCCAGATATTCATTTTATGTTGTCAGCATTTAAAATTGCATTAGTCTTTTCTATAACAAAATTATGATTATTCTCAAGTACTTGTGCATAGCAACATATGTTAAACAGTATAAGAGATGCAAGATCTCTTTTCTTCTTTCATGATGGAGATTTCATTTGTGTGAACTTTAAAAACCCACATATTCACAGTCTTTATATTAAGATCAATATTGTCAAAGTAATTTTTGCTCCAATGTATTAAAGATGTAATTCTAAGATGTCATTCTAGGACAAGGCCAGGGACCGAGGTAAGAATAGGGAAGATAAATGGGTGATAGATAATTGAAGAAATGCACATTTAAAAGGAAGTCTCAGAGTGTAAAGACAAAATCATGAAGAGAAAAAATTAGCATAATATCTATGGAGATTCTCAGTCATCCAGGTCATAGTTATCCCAACGGTGCTTTTTCATGAGGCAACTGTATTTTCTTGTTTTTCTTTGAAGATGTTTCATTTCTCATCCAAGAACCTTCTTCAGCTCTGACTCTTCTGCTCTTTTGAAGACAGCAAAGTCCACGTTTTGGTCAGAGAGGACCACTGGTTTGAAAGAGGGGTTAAAGAGGCCATCTGTGTCAAAACTGAACAGCCCTCTCTCAACAGAGGGGGAGGGATACGATATCATCTACCTCCAGTCTACAACACAGTCCTTTCAGCAGTTCCAAGAAGGCTCCACACCCATTTGCACTACTCAGGTGACCCTGACAACACAAATAAACCTCCAGGTGGCCTCAACGACTCTCTAAAAGAATGCAAATGATCAGCTGTCTGCAAAGAATATAAATAGTTCCATTCCCCACCATCCAGTTAGAGCTGAAAAAGCTTTCTTGGATGAGAAGTGAAACATCTTCAAAGAAAAACAAGAAAGTCCAGTTGTGAAAAAGCACCTTTGGGATAATTAATATAATAGGTGAAAAATGGAAATGTTATAAAACCAAATACATAAGATATACCTATGTTTAAAAGTTACATTCGTCCTTGTTTATCGTTAAAAAAAAGCATGCAAATTATGATTACTTCACTCAGGACTGGTTAAATATAACTATAATTATCTCTGTCCTTATATCATTTGAATAGATTATATGGTATACATTGTTGTATATTAGCAGTAGAAACCTGCTCTACAAACATTAGAAAAACAGATTTTCAATGTTGACTCATTCGTTTGTGTCTCATTGCCAATTTATTATTTTAATAAGTTTTAATATAATATACCATCTTGCTTTAGTTGGTTATTAGTATATTTTCTTTTTCTTTTGTATTGTGCCATAGTCACATGGTCTGATTTGGGCAACCTGTAAATGATCTATAAAGAAATAAACACATCCAAGATCAGTATCTATGGAGATTCTTAGTCATCCAGGTTATGATTGCCCCAAAGGTGCTTTTTCAAAAGACAACTGGACTTTCTTGTTTTTCCATGAAGATGTTTCACTTCTCATCCAAGAAGCTTCAGTCAGAACTGAAGAAGCTTCTTGGATGAGAAGCAAATTGCCTTTTGAAAAAGCACCCTTGGGAAAAATCCAAGATCAACTCCCCAAAACTTTTAATTAAAGGATAGCTCATTTTTATTCACCTTTTTCTTTGCAGGGATACATGGGTTTCCCTGGAATGTTGGGGCAAAAGGTAAGGTACATCAGGGATGCTCAGTCTGTGCACAGCATGGACATGTGTTGGAGTTAATATTACATAGGGATTTTGAGAGACAATTTAGTCCTAACTTTCTACTCCTAACTATTAAGTATTCAGTGGGACTTAATATTAAATAAATATGGATAAGATTGCACTGTTCATTCCCAACTCTTGTCATAGTCTTGCCACTATGGAAACTCAAATGGCATAGGTTCCCTTCACTCTTTCCAGCCCCCAAGCAAGGTAAGTAAACTGTAGACAGTGTAGGATACCTATTGGCCTCTACTTTGTACCTATTTTATATATGTTGAACCAAGTTTAAGGAAGTTTCGGAAGCAAGATCTGTAGAATACATTAGGCTGCTTCTGATTAGGTCAATGCAGTGTTTTGACAATTTTAGGATGAATCAACTTCCTGATCTCTCCAGAGATTCTGGAAATTGTATCTACACATCTTAAAGTTACTAAAACTGAGAAACATTGCGTTAATGATTCAGAAGAATGGGATCAGTACAAGTATCAGCTATTCGGTTCCAGGTAAAAATGTGAAGTTGGAATGATTGTTTAAAAATCTGAGAATATAAACTACTGGAAAATTCACAATTTGTGCAATTAAATAACATGAACTGTCATGCAGCTCTTGTTAATTTAATTTGGACTAGTGGATTTTTGCCATGACTATTACACCTGAGTTTTTAGAATTGTATACATCTGATCATAACTGTAAGGACCACATTTTCTTTTACCTAGAAAATCCATTAATATTCTTCAAGCTAATTTCACACTAGTTAATCATTTGAGGAAGAAAAAGTAGATTGATTTGAGTAGTTGTAGAAAAAAGTATTTGGTGCTGCTGATGTTATTGCTCATTGTTTCATTTCTAATTTTGATGTTCCAGTAATGTTCAGAGAAAATTGCTTTCTCTGTCCTAAAAGAAAAGTTGTAACTCCCCTTGGAGTCCATATGCTGCTAATAAGCAGGACTGAAGCGATTAGGGAGTGGGACACAAGGAGCTTTCATACATTTCATGCATCTTCTCTTTCTCCTTTCTCATGTCCATAAATCTGACCTTGTGTTTAAAGATGTCTGAAAGATGGAAAGGCTTTCTATGCTTAAGGTTTTGAGCTTGTCCGTTTCTACTCAATTATCAGAACCCTTTCTATAACAGGATAGAGGGTTTCTTGGGAACAATCTGAGTTCATATTTATTTGGGCTGATGGTTAACAACCAGGTGTGACTGTCTATGGAGATTCTCAATCATCCAGGTCACACCTGGGTCCCAAAGATGATTTTTCACGAAGCAACTCAACTTTCTTGTTATTCTTTGAAGACATTTTGCTTCTTATCCAAGAAGCGTCTTCAGGTCCGACTGGATGGTGGGGAATAGAAGGATTTATATTTATCAAATCCCAAAAAAGACCCAGCAAGAACTCCTCCATAACAGACAAGGAAGAAAACAATAAATGAAGCAATATAGTAATTCCATATATTGCAGGAATATTGGAAGTGCTTGGGAGGATCTTCAGCCAACACAACATATGTGTATACTTGAAACCCAAGAATACACTAAGGCAGAAGCTTGTCCACCTCAAGGATAAAACACCCAGACACAAACTGAGCAATGTAGTATATGCAGTACAATGCAGTGAGCCATCTGCATATGTGTACATTGGGGAAACAAAACAACCACTTCATAAACGCATGGCACAACATAGAACAAACCCATCAGGACAAGATTTGGCAGTCCATCTGCATTTAAAAGACAAAGACCACTCTTTCGAAGACAATGAAGTCCACATTTTGGACAGAGTGGACTTCTGGTTTGAAAGGGGTCAAAGAGGCAATCTATATCAAAATTGAACAGCCCTCTCTCAACAGAGGGGGAGGGATATGACATCATCTATCTCCAGTCTCCATTCCCCACCATCCAGTCAGAGTGAAGAAACTTCTTGGATGAGAAGTGAAATGTCTTCAAAAAATAATAAGAAAGTCCAACTGCCTCATGAAAAAGCATCTTTGGGACCCAGGTGTGACCAGTTTTCTATTCCTGATAGAGAGTGCAGCAAGAAAAATATCTAGAGTTTCAGAACAGGATGCAAGCACTGGATTGTGGCTTCATTGACCAAGGAATAAAGAAAGTGAATGAAGCTTTTTATTATTTAGTGTACTAGTGGTATAATTATTAAGATTTTTTCCCAAGTTGATGGAGCTATAGTCCAGTATTTCAATGTCCAATGTACTTTAGTTAATATTATTTACACAAGCATTTAGAAGGATCTCTTTTTGACATGCATATGAGTATCTGCTGAGTTTTGAGTAAGACAGTTTCATAACCAAGTGTACATTTTTGCACTGAAGATTTGGGTTTTATCCTTTCCATCCCCATAAAGGGAGAAATGGGTCCAAAGGGGGAACCTGGTGCATCAGGACACAGAGGACCAACTGGACGGCCAGGGAAACGAGGCAAACAAGTAGGAATTGTTTATTTTGTTTTAATCCTAACTTCCTTAATATATATTTCATTTTTTATATAAATCTAGATAAAATATTTTTGTTTCTCTAAAGGCCTTGTTTATGATAACTTAAAGAGCCTTGAAGATCTTTGGATTGCAGAAATCAATTTTATTTTCAGGTGCAGGGTGAAAACAATTTAATCTAAATCTCATTTGATTGATTGATTGATTGATTGATTGATTGATTGACTGATTTATGCCTCTTCATACGTCTTGTCTGAATCACAGTGTGGCTCTTTTTGTGTTTGTGTGTATGGTTTCTAGCATGCTACTTAAATATTTTCTTTAAAGACTTTGTTAAATTGATGTATTCTCCACTCACTGTTGTCATCAAAAAGCTATGCTGGCATTAAATTTGTTGTGCCCAAGACTGACCATTGGTCTACACTTCTTGTCAAATTTCTCCAAATAATGGGTGAGAAAGTGTAACAAAATTTAGATATGTGAAGGCTATTATTATACCTAGTGGTCTTATTTATGTTATTAGACAAATCTCATCATAAATTTAACCCTTCTTTAGGTTAAATGTTGTTTTGAAACTTCACAGGGAAGAAGCTAGATGGGTACTTAACTATTTGTTAAATAAAAAAGACACTTCTCACCCACTGAGTCATTTCCTGCCTCCAAAGCCAGCTGACGTCCTCATATTAAATGCCTGTGGTGGCAGCTAAATTGAGAAGGTGTTACTTCCACTTCCATTCTGAGATGCATCTTGCTCATCTCATTGACTCCTTTAAGTTCATGTCTGGAGTCTTCTCAGGTTAGATGCACTAAGACAGGATATATATAGGCCTAATCTTACAAGTGCCAGATTAATCAACATCATCACAGGCATGACACACACTCTGTTCCAGTTGCCACAGTTTTAGGAATTCTATTATTGCTGGTAGAAAATGTCTTGAGAATATGTAATATTTGTAGGAAAATGCCCCTGTTTTCAGACCGCTAGTCATCAACGTTTTTCTGCTTCTTTCTCTTCACTTTTCCAATTTCTTCTCTCCCTTACCCTCTGTTTATTAATTGTTTTTGATTCTTGCTATTCTCTGTTTGTAGTGGCTTTAAGTCTCCTTCATCAAAGATAACAGACAATTCACTATTAATGTTTTAAACAAATTAGTTCATCTATAAACTCCTACATGATTGTTTTGTATTACTCACACTTTCCTTTTCCTTAAGAAAGATCAAAGCAAAAATATTGGCAAGAAAAACCAAATGCACAGGTATAGAAAATGTGATACCTGGCTCAACAGTAGCAACTGTAAGAGGGATCTAGGTGTCCTAGTAGGCCATCACTTAAGTATGAGCCAGCAGTGGGTTGCAGCTGCAAAAAAAGCTAATGCAGTTTTAGGTTGCATCAACAGAAGGATGATTTCAAGATCATGTATAGTGGTAGTACTGCTTTATACCGCACTGGTAAGCCCACACTTGGAATAGTTTTGGTCACCATGATACAAAAAAGATGTTGAGACCCTAGAAAGAGTGCAGAGAAGAGCAACAAAGATGATAAGGGCTCTAGAGGTTAAACCATTACAATGAACAATTGAGGAAACTAGGAATGTCTAATCTAATGAAGAGAAGGACTAGGGATGATAGCAATCTTCTAGTACTCTGTGGTTGCCACAGAGATGAAGGAGTTAATCTATTCTCCAAAGCACCTGAAAGCAAGGCAAGAAGTAATAGGTGGAAGATCATTAAAGTGAGATCCAACCTAGAATTAAGGAGAAATTTCTTGACATTGAGAACAATCAATCAGTGGAACAGCTTACTTCTAGAAGTCATGGATGCACTCTCATTGGCCAAGAAGAAACTGGGCAGCTATTTATCCAGAGTGATATAGGATCTTCTGCTTGAGCAGAGCAGCCTAGGTTATTGACAGGAGTCAAAATTGATTCAAAAGCACCCACCCGCATACACAAATCAAAACATATTAGTAGAAACAAGTGCTTATCTTAATGCTGTTCTGGGCCATTGCTGTGGAAGTACATATGAAATGAAGCAAGAAATGCCAAGCGCTATAACTCTTAGCCACTGGTTGGAACTAATGGCATTAAGCAATGTATTCCCTCAGCATTTCTTCCATTAAAAGATTGCATGCCAGAAACATAATCATTTATCTCCAAGTGGCCTTTCAAAAAGCTGCCTAGGTCTTTTGTTACTGCAGATCTTGTGATGGTATAATTATATCTATCCACAATAATAAATTGTTACAAGTAAAAAGTAAACACTTCTTCAAGTCAAATCTGACTCCTGATGGCTTCATGGTTTTTATTGTCACCTACCTGGTTTTTTGTCCTCTCGGTCTTACTTATAACCCTGGAAGTTTCAGATAGCAAACTGTCCAAGAAGTAGCCCCTGTTTAGCTTCTCAAAATCAGCCAAACTCAGCTTGCCAGCAGTAAAATACGTCTTTGTAAATTAATTTTTCCTGGAAATGATCTGGTTTGAGAAAAAGGATTCTCCTATACCTAAGCAAACATTATTTTTGTCTTGGAGAAATTACCCATTCATGGAAAATGCAGAATAGGAAAATAAAGAAAATATTTTTGATACTATATAAATGCATATTTTGTTCAGATAGGTACATGGACACATATAGGAGCTCTGAGGAGCTGTGGGTTGACTTTATTTAAAATAAATTCTTACTTTGGATTACCAAACTATATCTGAAGAGTTTTATTGTTTGGATTAACAGGCGTGTTAGATTTATAGCTTAAGACAGTGTTTTTCAAGCTTGACAACTGTACATGTGTGGGGCATGTTTTTCTGGAGAATTCTGGGAGTTCAAGTTAAATTGCCAGGTTTGAAAAATACTGACCTAAGACTTTCTAATTTCCTTTATATTACAGCTTATAGTGTATATGTAAGGAAATAGTTATACGGTTCTTTTTTTAGGGACAAAAAGGAGACATAGGACCCCCTGGAAGTATAGGCCCACCAGGTAGGCCTGGTCGTCCTGGAGTATCAGGTCCACCAGGACAGTTAGTAGCAGGTAAGACTGGGCTTTCTTAATAGCTGCTCTTATGCTTTAATTTTAATAATATAATAATGCTAAACAGAATATACCTTTCATGTTTGTTCAATCATTAGCTGAAGGAATTTCATTAAGATAGCATTTTAGGGGTCAATAGGCTTTGGGGAGGGTATAGGTGGAATTCAGTAAGCAAACTGCCATGGCTCCTTGATAACTGCCCCTCCCTCCTTGATAATTACACTATATGCTGGAGGACATTCAGTGGTAGGAAAAACAGAATAATATTATCCTCTGTCTCCTCAAAGTTGTGATAAGTGTGGAATTGATATGATATATATCGTATAAGAGATAAGGCAAACAAGGAACAGATTGTTTCCCTCCCTATCTGAACTAGATAAGAGAGATGTACAGAGATATCAGTCACTGTGCAGTCGTCTTAAATTGAAGATTGTTGATACATTCATCCATTTTATGGTACTTAACATTAATGTAAATGCAGCATTGTATAGAATTCTAAAGCTTATATGATACCAGCATTTTAACATGAAGTCCATGCGTCCTTTTGAAGTTTGGGAAACCGTGGGGTTTTTTTGAGCTAAAACCATTTCTTCTGATGTGTCAAAACTAGGCTTTTTAGGGACAGCAATGAGAATAAGCTACAAGCGTTAAAAGAAAAAAAAATGGGGTAGGAAAGGAGATGCAACATATTCTTATCTAAGATGTTTGTCTTTTGCCATGTCTAAAGAAAACAAACAAAAGCATTAAAACCCATAAATTACTTTTGTTTTTTCATATGTTGCTTTCGGATATACCTATCATATAATAAAAGTATGTACTGTAGCCTATGTAAAAACTTGACCCGTCTTAATAAACATTTTTTTTGCTTTGCCTGAAGTACTTGTGGTAGTATCAGGAAATGAAAAAGTCACTTTGCAAAGGTATTGGGTGCTTTTCTCTCAAATTCCGAAACTCCATGCCAAGTCAGGTGCCCAGGTTTTGGGGCAAAGCTGCAGCCCATGAAAAATGTAGGCTGAATCAAACAATGGTTAAAAACAGTTCAGTTGCAGCTTAGAACTTGAAGACAGGTAGTCTATGCAAAAGAGCATTGTTTGTTTATTTATTCAATTTACATAGCTGTCCATCTTATGTTTACATGACTCTAGGTGGTTTACAATAAAATACATAAAATACACACTATAACAAAATAGAAAATAAAAATAAAACACATAGCAGTCAAGCATTGTATACCAATCATCCACACAGTCAGGAAAAAGGCTCTGTCCCACACCCGGGGCTTCAGGCTCAGGTACCAGGTCAAGTTTTCAAGGCTTACAAAACACCAATAGGGATGGGATCAATCTATTTTCAAGGGGAATGATGTTCCAAAGAGTTGAGTGCCACAGAAGAAAAGATTCTTCTTCTGGCTCCATCAGACAATATTCCCTAGATGACGGTACCTTCCTGCCAAACCTGGTAAGGAAGAGATGATCCCATATGCATCCCAATCTTAACCAATGAAGGACTTTAAAGATGACAATCAGGACCTTAAATTGCACCCGAAAGCAATGAAGATCACAGGGTAAAGGTTTCACCTCTGTTGAGTAACTGGTATTAATAACTTCCCATGCTCTTGCATTGTGCACCAGTTGGAGCTTCCAAATACTCTTAAAGGATAGCCCACTGTAAAACATATTGCAATATTTCAGTCTGAAGATCACAAGCACATGAGTGACTGTGAGCAAGCCCCCCCCAGCCTAGGTATGGGTACATATGATACACAACCCAAAGTTGCACAAAGACCCTCCTAGCTATGGGTGCCACCTGTTCTTCAAGCAGGAGTTGCAAGTCCAAGAGGATCCCTTAACTGGGTACCAGCAATGCCATCCCTGTCCAAAACCAAAGATGGAAGGTTTATACATGTATTCTCCAGTTTATTAGAGTTAAAACAAAATATATTTACAGAATCTGTGCGTTGTAAATATTAATGGTTTAGGTGGTAACTAAGGCCCAATTTGCTTTTTCTAGTATGTTTGTGTCTATTTCAGAACTTCCTAATTTGGCAATCTGATATTTTTTAGGGCAACTAATGGGGCCAAAAGGGGAAAAAGGACTTCCAGGACCTCCAGGAAAATGTCTCTGCAACTCTCAGCCAAATGTGAATGGCCCACCATATGAGGAGCCACTGTTTGGAGATGCCTATTCCAAAGTACCTGCAGTAAGTGAGTTTTGACAAGAATTAAGATGGGCATATTATCTAATTGAAGCATGACAGGATTGCTTTGTTGATGAACTGAGGTAACTGTATTAACTAAGCTAAATGCTTTTAAAGTTTCACTCTTCAAACACACAGGTAGTCCTGACTTACTGACTGCCTCATTTAGCAACTACTTAAAGTTATGATGGTGTAAAAAAACAGCTTTGCAACTAATCCTCGAATATACAATCATTGCAACTTTATGCAGTCATGTGTTCACCATTTGTGTGCTTCCCAACTATCTTACAATAAACAGAGTTAATGAAGAACACGGGAGAAAAATAGTAAGTTGCGGTCAGATGATGTCTTACTTAATAATTGCAGTGACTTGCTTATTGACCAAATAAGAAGTGATGTTGTAAATTCATTGTGGTCAGCTGATTTTTTGCTTAGCAACTATGATGCTTAGAGATGATGTTGCTGGTATTAATTTTGATTGCTAAGCAAAGGCTACTTGTACTTAGTTTCTACAGTTATTGGGTTAGTAATGTCATGCTTTGCTTCTGAATGAGAATACATCTAATGATACAATTTAATGATACATTTCAAGTACTGTTAAATTACATGCTTGCTCTAAATTCCTTGTATCTTTGTCTATGACAGAATAGCACAGGAGGAGTATAATCCTATGTTGTTTTAACCTATATTTTCCCCTTTATAGGGAATAAGCAAATATCTATTTGCACATTTTTACGTATTCTCTTCCAATCCAAATATCCATTTGCACATTTTTACATTTCTCTTTCAATCCATTTTTCTTAAAAAAATATTACATGCATAGCAAGTCTACTTTTTCTGCCTCTAATTACACAGGGGCAAGCATTTGAGATATTGCTTAATGATTTCAAATCCATAACATTTTTTCTGAATTTGAGGGTCAGCTGGAAAGGTCCATAATATCTATTCCAAGCTATTTAATTTTTGGAATCATCTCATATAACTGTACTACAACCTATTGCCCTGCATAGATATTATGGTGATCTAGTCTCCCTCCTTTTTCTATTTGTAACTTCCAGATTTTTGTAGTGAATAATCAGGAAGACCTGGAAAGATTAAATACAGAATATGCCCTAGCATTTCGAAGAGATCAGCGGTCTTTATATTTTAAAGATACTTCTGGATGGTTCCCAATCCAGGTAAAAAGAAAAAGAAAGTGTAACTTTGAAAGCATTTGATTTCTTGATCAGTAAAATGCATACAATTATGTGTTTTTTGTACCTGATGTCTTCTTTTTAAAAAGTGATAAACCAATTATTTTTTGTTAATTTTGGGAAATTCTGGTCTGGAGCTGTCTTCATGGGGAAATACGGCTGGCCCTTATTCTGTCTTCTATAAGGGTCGCAGTTTAGGCATTTGAAAGATGGGGATAAAATTGTCTTTTAGATTATTTGTAATTTTTTTAAATTAACCTTGTTTTTGTATTTGTTATTTGGGGTATGCTAGTTTATTTATTTTGTTTTATTCTTTTGTAAGTGAGTCTGGGCTACTCCAAGAGAAGATTAGCATAGTGATAAAATATACATAAATAATATCAATATCTAGGGCACACTGGAATTTAGGCTGTAGTCTTACTTGGAAATAAATACCATTGTATTTGGTTCTGATTTTATTCCAATCTACAGAAAAAAAATGTTGCAATCAGTACATATATGTTCTCTTTTGAGGTAAACAGTGAGATGCAAAATGCAGAACAGAGTAAGAAATAGTAAGCAAAAGACATTGGAGGGACAATGAAAAAAAGAGACGGAGGAGTAAGAAAAGAGAAGGAATAATAGCTGCATCTAATTTGTACCTACTGCATTCTCTATATCTCCATGTACTGTGTATCCTTGCAAATCATCTTTGCTTTCATTATATTGTTGCCTAAATTCACACATTGCCTTTTGTTCCTAAAGAAGAATTGATGGACATTAATTATTCATAACTAAAACATTGAATGGAATTCAATTAGTCTGATTGATTAAGTTTGGATCCAATAACATAATATTGCATGACAAGCATCTCTATTTTGTATATATTAATGTATTTTTAGTCTTGCTGTATGTTGTCCAAAGTCATTTGTTTGTGAAATGGGCAGCTATATAAATTTGAATGGCCAGCATATAACTAATAACATTATGTCTGTATTTGTTCTTAGTTATCATGCTTTAGGTAATTGGATTCATGAAAAAAAAAGTTTTGAAATCATACTCCTATAGGTTCTACTTTGGCTATAAATTTTTATCACAGTTCCCCCCCAAAATAACTGATATAGGATTCCCAAGAATACACTTAGTCAAATACTTCCAGAATACTGGTTAAAAAAAAGAATTCTTTCTACAATGAACCCAATTTATATAACTCTTCTTCTTTATCAGCAGCTAAAATCTTCCTATCCACTGGATCATCTGATAGGAGATAGTAATGTTTGTGGAGATGGCATCATCCAAGATGGAGAAGAATGTGATGATGGCAATACAATAGTGACTGATGATTGTATAAGTATGTTTACTCCATTCATTTCTTAGTTTCTTATTCTAGCTTATATACAAACTATGGTTAAACAAAGCATAATTCATACACACAGTTGCATTTGGATATAAGTGTGGTACAGTTTTTTTAACATGATGCTTGCTAACCAGTGATAGGATTTGTCTTAAAGCAATTGCTGGTGGAAACACAAAGGTTTATGTGGATTGGGCAAGGCTAGTTATTGGAATTATCAGTTTAAAAACTTCCTATTAAATCTGGGGAAAATGTTTTCTTTGAATAAGTTTCAGACTAATTCTAATTTCTGATTAGTAGCATCAGTATTTGTATAATAATTTGAGTACTGAAAAAAGAACATATTATAATCAATTCTGTATGTAATATGACACTCCTTGGATTATGTTAGGCCAGTTTTTATTTCTGCCTTTCATTCTTTTTCTGTTTTTTTAGTAAATAGTGTAGGAAAGGGCAATCTGATACCTTCCAGATTTATTAGACTATGATTCTTACAATTGGACTGAACTTTTAATGAAAATAGGCTCCAAAAGGATGACCATTGGTTGAGAATTATAATCTAAGCTATTTTGTTGGTTTAGAAGTCTCTGTTGAGATTATGCAAAAAAAAAAAAAACCTTTTCAGTCAATTGTACATTGGTTTGTTTTTATTTAGTTTATATCATCAAATATTAGCTAGTTCTGTTTTCTACTAAAATTATTTTAGTGTATTATTTTACATTGCTTTTGTATATGCTTTTTTTTTTTTTTAAAGTGAATATGATGTATGTCTTTTTGTATGATTTCTGAATTATTACTTTGAATTTATCTTGAGATATCTCTGAAGAGATAATGAACTGGAAGGCTTTTTTGAAACAAAAATATATAATTCAACTATAAAATAGTTTTTATATAAATATTTATATTTTAGTATAAAAAGTTTGGAAATAGTTCTTGTAGATTAAGGTTATCTTAAAACAAACACTTCTTTTTCCACAGTATTAACTGCTTAAAAGAAGATTGAAAGCAGATTATGTGGAATAATTAGCTGGTATTCATGTGCTCCAGAGTAACAGACTCAAAAAGAATTATTATTTATATCTCTTTCACCATATTTTAACAAATTGACATTACATTTCTGAATAAATTTAGTTCTGTGAAAACCAGCCAGTGCCAGATGGATTATTTATGGCAGGGATACAAAGACATGCTTCTTATTTTTAACTGAACCACAGCTAATTCAAGTCAATTTTCTGGAACAGTACAACTTATGGAACCACAGATAAATGGCCTTGCTGAGTTCATAAATGTGCTATAGAGGAAAATGTGGTTAGCTAGTTTGTGATCATCTGCTGATTGCTGAGTGCATTCATGCAAAATGTTTAATCTGGTTACTCATTAACTTGTTTTCTGATTTCATACAACATCCTGATCCATATACTATTCATCCCAGGAGTGGACTGGGTCCACACAATATGAGAAGCTACACAAAATCACACTTAAAACTAGCCAAGGAGTTTGTTTGCAAGGACAAGATCTTCAACTAGCATACTAAAGTATCTTGTTTAAATATAGTGAGTAAATGACTTGGACAAAAACTCTATGATTTCTTTCAACTTGCGAATAGCTAAGCAGGGCAATTCAACCCTCTTATGATAATTTTCTGACTAGTGACCAAACGGCTTCTTTTAGGAAGAGCCAGCCATTCGTGTACTACTGTAACCTTATCAAGGTCAGGCTTTTAAATCTTTTTGTCTCAAGATGACTGAGCTATGCTAAAGGAAATTATCTTAAATCTCTGCTGTTACACTGCAAATCTGGGCATGCAGGAATATTGCTCTGGGTGAGAGAGGCCATGTGCCACTGAACATTCAGCCAGTTGAAAGGAAGACTTTAAAGTTTTACATATGTTTGGGTCAGAGTTCCTTTCTTTTATGGGTAGTGGTTGTGTATTATTATAATCATTTCTAAGCCTGTATTAATAAGTCATATTGATGTAAAGATAACTTGAACTGATAATTATCAATTGATAACTTAAATTGGTATAAAGATAATTGATATAATCTAAGCCAGTGGTGGCAAACCTATGGCACACGTTCCAAAGGCGGCACTCAGAGCCCTCTCTGTGGGCACGCGCGCCGTCACCCCAGCCCCATCTCCCCTTCTGGCCCCCCTCCTCACCAGCAGCCCCCCCTGGAGTAGAGTCACCCGTGGGCACAGCCCATGTGGAGCAGTGCAGCCAAGGACATGGCAGCCGGGCAGTGGGGACAAGATTCCACCTCGCGCCTGTCATGTGCAGTTGATGCTGCAGGGCGCGGGTGGAGGGCGTAGTTGCCTTGGCGCTGCTGGGCCACCTGGGCGATCTACAATGGGCTGTGGAGGCGGTGAGTGGCCCTGCGGGTGGGCGGGGCAGGGGTGGGGGGGCAGAACGGGGGTGGGAGGGGTGGGGAGAGGAGAGGCAGAGCAGGTGGGCTGAGGAGGGGCTGGTTTTTGGGCACTTGGTCTCTAAAAGGTTCGCCATCACTGATCTAAGCTATATTGATATAAAGATAACTATGGCTCCACAAAACAATATATTTTTTGTTTTCTATTTTGTAATCAATAGGATGCCACCATGCTTATTGTGGGGATGGCTATCGGTATGAAGGTGCAGAAGAATGTGATGGGAATGACTTTGGATACTTAACTTGCAAAACATATCTCCCTGGGTATGATCATTTATAACTGAATTATAGGAGAAGTGTTTTTGATTAAACAAGTGTAAACTCAAAGGAAGAAGGAAGAGGAAGGGAGTATAATTATTTCCAGGGAAGGGAGGAGTAATTAATAACGGAGATATAGTTGATTTATAGAAAAGATTCCTGAAGCCTAAAGAACAAATCTTCTATATTTGCTTAGACGTGATAAGAAAGATTAATTTCATCCTAAATCAATAGTTGCAGAGAGATAGTGAAGTGAGTCTGCAAAATTATTCATTCACCTCTGATTACTTGGAAAATAAAGAGGAATGAAATTCTGAAGTGAAAAGATTGGAGGAGTAACTGCGTTCTAGAGATAGTTGCCTATCCTCAGGAATATTTGCTCTCGATTATATAGACACACAAAAAGACACATGCATAGGCACAGATCACTTTCCTTAGTTCTCAGACAACTGTGGAAAAGGGCATGTAAAATCAAGGGGTGACTCCAAAGGACAAAACATAATGGAGAAAGGTGGCAGCCTCCTCAAGTTTGCCACACTCTGGAATTGGAGAGAACTAATCAGAAAAAAAGCTATCTTAGGTTTAAATGTGCTTTTGTTTGAACTGAAATTGTATTGTTCGTTCAACAGACCTCCACCTTTTTAGTTTTCCATAAGGCTTTAAATGTTTTTACCCCAAGCATTGGGAGAAGATTAGATGCACCTTAAAACTAAATGGTGCCAGATTTTTGTTGTTTCTTTATTGTTTTAATTAGTTGAATGTTATGGTTTTAAGTGATTTTATGCTTTAAATTTTTATTGGTTGTTTTCAAACTTGATTGAAAGATGGGCAACTACATAATTTTTTATAATAATAAATAAATATTGTAAAAGGCTGAAGGCCAAACTGTGAGTGTATATTCAAAATATGGATGAGTCCAATTCCAAAATTAAAAGTGACATTTGACTATGTTTAGTTAATTAAATCCAATTTAAACTAAACATTAAATATTTAGTTAATTATATCCAGTTAATGATTTCCCCTTGCATTTCAGTTCTTTTATTGTATGGTAGCATTTGAGTGGGTTCCAAGGAATGGACTACAGTTTTGGAGTGGAAAAGGGCATGTGGTTACAGATTTACTTTTCTGTGGCCTCCTAAATATGAATAGATATAAAGGCGATGAGGATTTTTATAAACCATCTTCTCATTCCCCAACTGCTATTAAATGTTGGTTCCATGCTGCTTGGAACATTTCTAAGAGAAAAAGAAGAAGAACTATATACAAGTAATTTTTGGCTAATATTACAATAGTACTGAACAAGTTTTACTTACAACAGATCCTCAACATTGTGCCTGTTGTAGCACATCCACCATCACAGAATCGTGATTTGGGCACTTGGCAACTGGCTTGCATTTACAATGGTTGCTGTGTCCTATGGTCACATGGTTGCCATTTAGGGCCTTCCATGCCAGCTTTCCACAAGCAAAGTCAGTGGGGGAAACAGCAGGGAAGGCAGCAAGTTGTTTCTGCTCCCCTTGCTTTTTCTCTTGAGGAACTCCACTATGGAGTATGAAATCCCTGCCTGCACTTGTGCAGTCACTTCCCACCTCCACCTGTGCTTGCCCCAGGCCACAGCATCCAGCCCCTGTGTATTTTCACTCCACAGCACTTACCCACCCACCATCCTACTTGCCAGTTGACTAAGATGATTGTGACTTGCAATTTCCTGTTGGTTTCCCCATTGACTTTGCTAGCAAGAAGTCTTGAGTGATGGTTATGTGACATCCTCCCTTAACTACCTGTGATCCTTACTTAATGATGGCAGAGAGGAGTGCCAGGATCACATGAGATCCCATTTTAGGACTGCATCGCTTAGCAACAGAAATTCTTGTCCCAATTACTGAAATTGTGAGAACTACTCATAATTACAACCTTTGAGTGGGGAACACAATTTTGCCCCCTTTTTCTTTCCAAATGGAAAACATGTTTACTATTGAGAAATCCTCTGTTCACTTCATCTGGGCACCCATGGCATCTACATTCAAAGATCCATATTACTACTAAGATATAGAAATGTGTTTTGAAGGCTTTCTTGCAATTGTCAGCCCTTTGAGGCAGACCAAACATGAACACAAAGTTACAAATACTTAAATTTAATAAAAATTATTTTGTTATAGGGTACAATACCAGAATCTGCAGGTTTGAATGTGTCTCCCACCCCTGCCCTTTATCTACAAGAAAATTAGGGAGGATAAAATCTGAATAAAATTCTCCTCCTCCTCCTTTTCCACAAGGTTATTCTCATTTCTGCAGTTCTTCATCATTCACATACTGGAACTTTCTCCAAAAACATTGCTGTGGTTCTTCCCAGCAGGATACTTAACTTGGATCTTTGCAATCCGACTTTTATGTATTGGAACGAATAGCTTTCTTTGATCAGCAACCTTTTTACCTATAGTGGCCGTTGTTCTGCATGCTGTCAGATGCTCTTGTTATTTTACTGGAAGCATTTAATTTGTAAATGAAATTATCTGCAGAGCCCTCATGGGACATTTTAATTGGCAGGAATAAGAAAGATAGTTCTGCCAAAAATCTGCTGTGTCAATGGCCTGTATCTAATTGTAACTTGCCTTACCACCATGTCTTGCTGTAGATCCGTTTTGAAAGGCAAATGATTGTATATACATAATTGATACAAACCTGAAAAAAATTACCAATAGTGAAAATTAAAAACAGGGCTTCAATTTCAGAGACCCTCTTGGGCAGTTTCCAGGTGAGTTTTTCATCTGCAGGGTGCCCAGTTTATTACAAGAGCTCACAGAACATCTAGATGATTTTGTAATCCTTCAACCCACATTTTGTAATCCTTAGCAACCTACATTTTATCTGCCATTGGTTGTTTCCTTGCTTCTTTTTATGGAATCCACATAGGCAGAAAAACCTGGAAGAGAAGTGAAAGTATAAAAGGCGTAACGCCTCCACAAAACTTCACTCCTTTGTATTTTATCTTATTTTATTTTTAAACCCACCTTTATTACCTTGCAAGTAACTCATGGTAGCAAAATACCTAAAATCATCTACTTATTTTTCTCACAACAATCCTATGAGATGGATTGGGTTGAGAAGGAGTTATTGATCCAAAGTAGCTCAGCTGACTTTCATAACTAATATGGGACTACAACTCACAGTCTAGAGCAGCACCTTAACCCCTGCACCACACTGACTGTTTAGTAGTATGTATCAACAAAGCTTGATTAGGGACATCTCCAAAATAGTGGAATAATGGATATAAGTATTGCCCTTATGCTAGAAAAGGGAGTTACTTTACATTATCTTCATATGACAATTTTATGTTTCTTTCCTCAGAGAACAGAATTCAAAACCAATCCTTAATGTCTTTAAATGTAATTTAATTTAATTTAATCTGATTAAAACTATCTATTTAATTGAGCACCATTTTCTTCAAGTTTGGATATATATAAGATATATGTAAGATATATATATATATAAGATATATATATAAGATAACTTTCAGTTTTTTTAAGTGTTCGTTTTAAAAAAAATTAAGCTTTCTTAAGTGTGCTACAAGTAAAAAAATTGGTGCAAATGGAAACAATCAATATATACAATAAATCAATTATAAAAGGCAGCTTTACTTGGAACAGCTTACATCCCATGACAATATCGTTAACACCATCGAACAAGAATTTCTGCTTACTCCAGGTCCTTGAGAAGGACTCGATAAAATGGCAAGGCCAGTCTTATAATAATAAAAGTATTTAAATTATAATATATAATCTATATGTCACGTCTGCCTTATCTTTTCTCTTAGGTCTTATGGAAAATTACGCTGTACTTCTTATTGTTATATTGACTCTACAGATTGTCGCTATTTTACATGAAAAGGGAATGGTGAGAGAGGAATATTCTATATATGACATGCATGCATCAGGTGCTACATTAGTATCATCAAACCAAGACTGGACGATAGAGAAACAATCAATGCTGAAACAACCATTGTCATGTTGCCATGATAATTGGAGATAAGTGTTAATTGCCTGCTCACAGTGGAAGAAAATTGGACCGCTCTTTCCTGTCTTAATAGAAAACATCCAGTGACAGTAACGCTTAAGATTTGCCTTCCATGATTGACTAAAGGAATTTTCCTGTGCATCAAGAACAAAAACAAACCAAAAGAATGCTATATTTGACTTCATGCTGTTAGGTTATTAAAATACAATAATACCTCAATTTAGCACTGTTAGTTCTACAAATAAGCTCTTCAGGTTTTCTTAACAAGATTTTTCCAGGATAAAAACAAATCATCTTCTGTTGGCAGTGTTTATAAGAAGTCTTTCATTTTTGTTTTTGTTTTTTAATTATTATTATTACAATGTGAACTTTGTACATGCTTTAGCTGCATGAATTACGTGGAAACACTTTATGTTTGTTGATTTGGGTAATTTGAGCTGCAGCCCAAGACCCTCTAATATCACTGAATTCATTCTGATTTAACTTCTGTGCAGATGTGCCCAAGTAAGAGCCAAAGGGAAATAATATTTTTAGTTTTCTTTTAAATAAACCCCATGTTAAAATGAGAGAGATGCAATGAGATTAAATTATACTTGCTGACAGTTTTAAGTGGGACAATTAGGAAGGAACCACATTTGCTGGCTAACAATACCAATGAAATACATAGACATCGGCTTCTGATGCTGAAATAACACCTTGAGATCATATTCTACTCAGCTAGAGCCACCATGGCCAGCAGATGAGTAATGATAGAAAGTACAGTTCAGCGACTTCTGGAAGACTGCAGCACATTGTATTTAAAAACTAAGGACTCCTATGCAAGTTTATACAGATGCCAGTTTCATGTCCAGTGGATCTAAACATTCAAGAAACTGGTTAGGGTTGTAGTTAGATTTTCTGCAACTCCAGGACAGTGGCTCACATGGAGCAAGCTACTGAATCTACTCTTCCATGCATTGTATTCATGAAAAGATTTGGAAATAATAAGATCCTAAATGAATTCATCTAAAATATACATTGTACATTGTACAATATACATTTACCATTGCATTTGAAAAGCTGAGTTGCATTAATGATAATTGCTGAGAAGCTTTCAATTCCAAACTTTAATTCTGGCTTATTTGCCAGGAAGCGTTAGCTAGTCACTCACTTTTATTGATTTCCAGTCTGATAACTGCTTTCTAGTCTCAGCTTTGTATAACATTCAGTATATATGTGTATATATTCCTAATTGTACAGCTTAGTCTAAATGCTGTATAGGTTTTATATGTATATAAATGGCTTTTCTTTTCCTGTTTTCTAGAAAAAAATTATCAGCATTCAGGATATTATTTACTTTATAGCAGAAATTAAAAAGGAAATTTTACATTGGAAATATGCTAAGATACAAACAGAAACTTTAAATGTAGGTAGATTAATTTTTCATTTAGTGAAATATCAGTTCAAATTAAAAAAAAAACTAAGATAGGCCACTCTTTTCCTGCTATTATTGATCCAAAATATATGTTTAAAATGCATGAAACTTGTTAAACATTGGTTACTATTATATTCTGTTTTTTCTGTAGATATTAAATACAGAGGACAGCACAGAATTATAATAAAATTTAACAATTATTCATCCTTTTTACCATAGATATGTAGATTATTTTAAGTCTGCATGTGTATAGTATTGAGAAAATATTTTTTTTAAATTAAAAACCATTCCATTATTCAGATTGGTCCTCCTTTTTCTGAATTTCTTTTATTGATTTCTCCCATTCTGGAATGTTACCAGATGTGCTCAATTACAGCTTTAGTCATGCGGAGTAACCTTCTAACTATACACAGTGTACTTCAACACTTCTGAAAGATTCTACATGGCAGAAGACTTGTTTACATTAAAATAAAACTTCTGGGCTCAATCCCGTGAATGTAAGATGTGCCAAGGTCACGTAAGCTCTGTGGTACAACTTTTAGGATGCTTTTAAATTGTGTGCTCAAGTTGCATTCAGGCAACTTGAGGGTGCCAAATTTACTGTGAATTTGCCCAACAGCTACAATATTCCATGGTTTTGGATTGTTCCCTGTGCTCAGGGTAGGGTGCTCAGAAGGCTATATTTATACTACGTATAACTTCTCCTTTCTTCAGGGTTTTAATTGCACGTCCATGACTGCCTTCTCTGAACCTGTTCCAATTTGTCTGAATCCTTTTTAAGAATGTGGTGCCCAGAATTGGGCTATTCACTATTCAAGAAGAGGTCCGATTAGTGCAGAATACAAAGGAACTCTTTCTTCTCCTGGTTTGGAAATTATCACTGGAAACAATCTCCATTTGAGTAGGACTGATTTATCTTCACTCAGAGATCAGCTCCAATTCAAGGTCATGTATTCTTGTTAAGATGATGTAAATTTGGGAGAAAGTATTGTTAACCATTGGCAAGAATATGTTAAAGAATTTCAAGCTGTCTTGAAACCTCGTGCTGCAATATAAGGACATTCTAGGGAGGCTACAAAAGTTTATAAAACCGTCATTATATGATGCTGCTGGCCAGAAGATGAAATGGAAAAAGTAACTTTCAGTGTAAAATCTCTCTCTATTCATCAGTTGTGAATTGTGAATATCTAGCTAAAATCTACTAAGAAATCCCATTATTTATTTGGCATAGAAAAAAATCACTCTGGAAAAAAGATTACAGGTTTAAAATTATAAATTGGGTTTCTCCCCCTCTAGCCTTTACTTTTCATTAGAAAGTTTCATTTTTACTTTCTTCATTATTATCATTAGTGAACACCAGCAGTCTTCTCTTCCCCCATTTTTCATTTCTCTATTGCTGTTTGGCAAAACTTCAAGTTCTAAGAGGCTGCAGCAAAAAGTCTTGTGGTACGTTTTGATTGCATTTGTGATCTCTGAGCCAGTTAAGATTGATGCCAATTTGATCAGCAAACTATCTCTGATAGGGTCAGCTAACTGGGATTGTATTAAGGAAATGCACTCCTACTGGAAATTACATCATGGATTTTTAAAATTTGTGGAGGGGGGTTGTTTGTTTTTTTGGAAAAGAACCAAGATTTTTTTTAAAAAAGGATTATATTTATTCACAAACACCCTACTGTTTTGCTGGTATTTTTATGTTTTTAAGTGTTTATCCCCATGGATCGGTTTTATTTTGGTTTGTTTTCCGGGAGGTGTAAGTAGAATAGGAATTAACAAAATGTATATTACCATCAATGCTTACTACCTCTATTCCCTTATTTTATTTTTTCTGTGACAACTAGGGTCAGAAAGGATGACTTAGGTGTCCGGTGATACCCCAACTGCACAGGACGGGTGGTTGAGTGTGGAAGGGAAGTAGGAAAGAGGGAGGAAGGAGGAGTGGTGGTAGAATGTGAGGAGGAAGGAGTGGTAAGTGGAAGAGGGTGGTGCGGGAGGGGTACACCGGACATGTCTGTGAATGTTTTGTTTAGTATTATTCTCTTTGGTTGATATTGTGATAAAAGATTTATGTTTTTGTTTGTTAAATGAAAAATAATAAAAATTTAAATACAAAAAAATAAATAAATGCAACACACTATAGTTTTTTTATACATAGCACAAAGATAAAAAACAATATATGCATCTAATATCTTCATTTTAGATGTCAAAAGGGTTTTGTGGCTCCCAGTGTTTTCTTTTCTGTGGGAAACAGGTCCAAATGGCTCTTTGAGTATTTAAGGTTGCCGACCCCTGGCTTAGAAGAACATATTCTTGTGGATGTTCTTGTTGAAGTAACAGACTTTAATTTATTTATCCATATTTGCTTTTTGAAAATGTCAAATACATTTGTTTTATTATCTTATGGAAAAAATACCTGTTATGTAACAAATAGTAAAACATTTTTATAGTTGTAATTAATAAAACAGTAAAAATAATATCAACTAATATTGTGAGTATTATAATTGACATTTAGGCCTGCAAAAAAGTAAAAACATGTTACATGTAGGCCATCATCTTAAAAGCTATCTATTTATCTGGATAATCAAGGGAATTGCCTTGGCCATGCCTCCTTCTCCTCTCTTCTCCTGCCTCCACCCATTTACCTCCAGCATTCCTCCTCAGCTGGCCTGCCCCCACCCATTCTCCCTAGCCAATGGGCCCCTTGTCCTCCACCTCATGTCCTTCCTTCCTTCCTTCCTTCCTTCCTTCCTTCCTTCCTTCCTTCCTTTCTTCCTTCCTTCCTTCCTTTCTTCTCCCTCCCTCTATCCCTCCTTTTCCAAGATTGAGAAACACTGGCAAAAACGTTGCTCAATGGGTGTTGTGGCCAGTTGCATTCCAGACAAAGAATAGAAATCGCAAGAGGGGGGGAAATGTTGTGTATGCCTAAGTGTGTTAAACCAATGCAATGTTTACATAGTATTACCTCCATGTGTGTGTGAATAGAGTACGGAGATTCTCCCTTCCAGTCACAGAACATGTTACAGCTCTTAAGCATTCACATACAAACACACATACACACACACACAAACAAACAAACATGCACACACCTGTAGAGCAGCGGCTTCCTTTTTTTCTTCCACCCTCCCCTTCGTTGTCTCTGCTTCTGGACTCCGTCCTCACACTGAACGGGGAATTGGCCTGCTGCCCGACATCAGGCTCCCCTCTCCTTAGTGCCCCACACCAGGTTTTCCTTCCCAATCAGAGAAGCTATGCCAATGCCATTCACCTCCTTGCTGCCCCACGCCAGGCTCCTCCCCACAATCGGAAAAGCTGTGCCAGCCCATCATACGCTGCCCATCTGATTGGTTGGCAACTAACTGTCCCATGTGGCCAAAAGCCTGGGACAAAAGGGGCCTCGGTAAAAGGGCCAGACAAAATCTCATGGGAGAGATATGAATTTCAATTCTTTTACTATTTACATTTTCTTTCAGTCCTCTTGGGTCTTCTTAAATAACAGAGATCTTATTTAAAAAAGAAAACTGAAATTATTTTCCTCTTTGGGGGGCGAACTTTTAGTGAGGCAAAATGGAACAACTGCAGTGAGAATGCT